GATAGTTCAATAAATTCTAATTACATTACTATACTATTAAGCTGACAGATGATAAGTCAAGTAATCATACACATGCGTAACATTGATATTCTTTGTATCTTTCTAATCACCATACTAAGTAAAATTTAAAACAAATAGTGAGTTTAAATTCACTTGATATTATTGTTTACTTGTATCTTCCCATTGTTGTTTAGGACTGAAATTGACCAGTCTCTCTCTTATTGGTATATGTACATCCTGTGAAGACTGCCTCGATATTGCCTGAAGTCGCAAGCATTCTGAGCAAAGATGGATAGTGGCTAACAGTGGAATCTAGGACATGCGTTTCGTCCCATTTGAGACTAGTCAGCTGGATATACCTCCATCTCAAAATTGATGTTCACTCTGCGAACTCGAAACCAATACCGACCGCTTCAAGCGGAATCGTGCTATCTATTTAGCTACTGAGTCTTGATAGCCACTTGCTTGTGCAATTGGGTGAATTTTAAATTCACTAGGTATCGTTTACTTGAATCTCCTCATTGACGTTTAGGACTGTAATTGATCAGTCTCTTATTGGTATATGTGCATACTGTGTGTGTGATGAGTATTATTAGAACAAAGAACTATTATCTCCCTCACTTTTATTTTGAACTAATAACAGTTTGTAAATAATTAAAAAAGGTCAATTCAATGAGACAAAGTACATCGGGTAGTAATCGTATTTGTCCTCAATTGGTGTGTTATAAGTATGATTTAGTTGACAAATCGTAATTTTTGACACCGTAGGATACCGGCCGGCTCAGTGGTCTAGAGATTAAGTGTTCGCGCGCGAAACCGATAGGTTATGCGTTCGAATCCCGCGGGGCAAAATCATGGATGCGCACTGTTTAGGAGTCCCACAATAGGACGAAATGGCCGTTCAGTGCTTTCAGGTTTTCCATGGTGGTCTAGGTTCAATTGACTCATGATCGAAACAATACTTGTTGTTGATGTATTGGAGATGGGGAAAACACTTTGATCAATTGACTTTCGCTTCTCTAAATTTTCAGAATACATTTCCTAGTCAAATTATTAGTACAATGTTTACCTAGCCCAGAGTGTTGACCGAATTCTATTAATTAATTTGTATTATTTCTACTAGTCAATATCGCATTCATTGTATCTTGGTGTAAGATGGTTGTTTGTAGTAACTGGCATAAAGTTCTGAATAACTTAGGTTCCGTGCTATTGGGTGACTTGTCAATAAGGTGTAACTGGAATCCTGCATTAATTAGAACGTGAATACGGTTCACAAATAGAAAGGTTACCAGTGATCTGTTTGGACCAAAAGTATCACTCATATAGCTGAAATGTTCATAGTGATGGGATTTCATTTAATCACTCAGACTAGTGGCCATAATGCAGTTAGAACCACAGAATTCGGTCATCACTAAGAATTAGATTATTATAAAATGGACTACAACTTATTGATAAGGCAATGCAATTATTGTAATGTTTTGTACCAGACAAAGTAGAAGTATTTATGAACAACATACACAACATACTCAATATTCGTTGACCGGATACCATCAGTAACAACCTACTGTGGGAGAGAACAAACAAGCTTCCCGATGAAGAGGAAATTAGGAAATGACGCTTTAAATGGGTAGTACATACACTGTGGAAATCACCAAACTTAAACACGAGGCGAGCACTAACTTGGAATTCTGAAGGGAAACGGAAAAGAGGAAAACCAAAGAACACATTGGTTCAAGAATCGTAAGCAGACATCAGAAGTATGAATAGTAACTTGAAAGAATTACTCAGGGCAGAGTTGAATGGAGAATATTGGTGAGCAGTCTATGCTCGTTCATGAGAAGTAATAGGTGCAAGTAAGCAAATAAGTTTGCACTGATCATTACAACGTACACGTACACATAACGAGAGGGATTTAAACCATTAGCAAAAATCTGACCTTATAAATAGCATAAAGAAATTTACGATTTTCCGTCAATTGTGCTTATTCTATAGTTAGGTCTTATAACTTGTGGCATGTGTGTCCTATTAATGTATAACGTACTGATACCGTCAATTAGAGAGCAGTGAATTATGGATCGGACCAATGACGCATAAAACCCGTGCGACCAGACTAGAGTACTTATCGGTCCTACTTCCTGCCTAGCCCAGCCAGTTAAGTACAGAACACCAATCTTAGCCTCCGCAATATGAATCATGTATTTCAAACATACTGGGTTTATATACTAGCCAGACAGACCACATCGTACCGTAAAATGGAAAATAACATTTGTATAAGAATTAGCCAAATATGGCTGTGATTATGGGAGATAGTAATTAATAGACAGGGCATAACTCAAGAAAGGTAAATTGTATAGTAACAATTCATAGGTCAAAATAAAGCTTATAATAAGAGGGGCATGAATAGTATAGTTATTCAATAAGTATACGATAAAAAAATATATGCATAGTATTGGTACATAAATGGATCCCAAAAGTTACCATTCATTATGCTCATCGGGACATAACATTAGGGTTGATAAAGAGCGATAATATTATCTATATAATGTTTACAGAACGCAGACTGATTTACAGAAATGACCAGGGAACAACTGAAATAAGTATGGATATCTTATTTAAAAAGACATAATTCATAAATTATTTCAACTGAACATTTTTACAGAGTTGTTAAAAATGAGGCGGAACGTGCAAACGAAATCCATCAGTCAGTCAGTCAGGAACAACGTAGAACTTCGTACGTATGTACGTACATCAGTTCAAGTTGCCATACCACATTAGCACAGAGTTACAACTGTCGATTCAAATCTTATAGTGGTAAAGGTAGTAAAAATATAAACAGTAATCGGAAAGATTAGAGTTTGAAGATGTTATTCAAGGAGTATAATTCAGTGAAATAAATTTGGAAAGAGACAGAAAGGAGATGTAAAGAATTCAGAAGATTAGAATTCGGGAGATCACAAAGAGTGGAAGCACCTGTGCCATTGGAAACGATTTTGAGCCATGTCATTCAATGTCTCTAACCATCAGATAGTTTACGCCTACCAACATGGCTCAGTGCACTTGTCAATGTTTTCATCGATTTGTGTCATATTTTGGTAAGTGAAATCCATAGTCAAAGGTGACATCGTTTTTTCAACAAATCCTCCAACTATAGAGCTATCTTTAATAACCCATATGTGAAAAACATGATTATACTAGGAAGGTAGCACAGCTACAAAGTTATGTTCATTTTCGAATGATAGATGTCAAGTTTTTGCCCTAGAATGTACATTAAATAATTTATCCACTTGTCGTACAGCTTACTGTTTCACAGAACCTTTACATTTAATATTAACCAGTTGGCAACTGTTTTCACTGTTTAAGAGCATAGTGTATTGAAAGATGGGATGACATGTTTAATTTTTTGGGAAAATATCTGAATTTATTGAAGTACCAATAATGTAGGTCATATAATTCAACGAGGCTATCGAATGATACTCAAACATAGAAAAGATTTTTCAATCCCTGCTGGCCATAGAATGCCGCACTCAGAATCTGCTATTTTCTTGGCGAGAAGATAGAGACGTCAAATTTATGAAGAATTAAAATAAATAGCGTGATCTTAGTTCATTTACGAAATTTACATAAGGATCTATGACGTGAAATTAGAGAACGAAATCAAAGAGGATTGATGATCCTAATAAAGTCACTTCACTTGTTCTTTTGACTGATGGAGTAAACGATGCAGGTTTACGTAACCGACTTTGCGAAACACTTTGTATGAGGGATGTTACTGAAGTAATTTGATTGAGATTCAGATCTACTACTTACAAATTGAAAGTCTAGAGGTCAACTCACTGGATTACAACACAAAAATTCTAAAGAAATCGACCTTATCTCAGAAGATGAAAGACAACTAGATTGCCCCTGTAGCGTTAAATAAATCCCTAAAATCAATAAATCCGTAAGTCTTCGACACTTGATGCTGACTACATTAGTTTTAATGAACCCACCTAGCTGAAAGCGCTCGGTCACGCATCCGCACCAGATCACGAGTGAGAACGCTGTGCTCAACTTCTCCTGCAACCGCTAGCCAGTATACATCAGTCACTCCTCGATATACTGATAACCTTTCAAATATTATGTTCGAGTCTATTCGCTGCTGACTTTTGATTTTACTAGGTAGGCACGATTCAATCATAGAAAGTATTACTGGTTAGAATGTTGTCAAACTACAAATACTTGTGGTATCTTCACCTCCAGACCTTTAATTCCTCAATTCAATCTTATAATGCATCTATGACATGTAAAACTGATGAATATCTCGCATAGACGAAAATATTGGCTTTGAAATTATTTAATTTTCATTAGATTATTATAAATCTCAATCATAATGTAGGCCTTAATTATACTGATTATAAAATTATAAACATTCTATAGAATACGTGTTTCTAAACAATGAATCGAATAAATCATTATAAATTATCGACAAAAATTAACTGTTAGACTACACTAAATTTGTATACTTAAAACCCAAATGACCTGGATAATCTTTAAGAAGTTATCTTACCTCCCCCCTCCAGTGTAATCGTATATAATTGTTTTCGGAACTGTTCAACATTCGATATATTCATCATTAGTATTGGATAGTCTGTCAGTCAATAAGTAATTCCTAAAAGCGTTAATAGGGTGTATGAGTCGTTTCTAAAATTGTGGTGTCTGAACTGGATTTAAAATTAATATCACGTCTAAGTGAAAAGTCTGAGGAAAAGGTTGGCGATAGTCACCTCTCCCTCTCAGAATGCTCCCACATGGCCACGTGCATAGAACCACTGTCAGGGAACTCCTCCTCACTGCCGTCTCATGTGATTACTGTCGTTTACGAAATTGAGAGAACGGAAAGCGAATGTCCGGAGCTTTAACCGAGTTGGTGGATATGGAGGATCCACCTAGAGCAGTTGGAAAACCCTCATTTCAAACCAATGGTGCAAATGAAATCCAGGATCCTGAAGGAACAAATCACGTATGAACCAATCGTTGGTCACCGGTTACCATTGAACTGCATCCCCTAACGTTGCTCCACTGCATTGTGGATCAGACCTTTGGGTAAAAGACTCGGGGTGTGGTTCCCTCAGAAAACCACTTGCTTCAGTTTGGGCACCCGGACAGCATCTCAGCCCACACACACACAAATCAAGTGACTTGTTTAGCACATGTATTCGGTGCCTCGTTGTATCAATATTTAAGTGTTCAATTAAATAAATAAAATAAACTGATAATGGAGCTTAAGGCCAAGAAATTTATTCTGAAGTATACTCATGTAAATGATTTCTTCATAAAGGAACTGTGAATTTTTCATTCATGTTCAAAACACTATTTCGATTCACCAATTTCTGATGCTCAAAATTAAAACACTTTTCACTCAGACGTGATATTAATTTTAAATCCAGTTCGAATACCACAATTTTAAAAACGACTCATACACCCTATTAACGCTTTTAGGAATTACTTATTGACTGACAGACTATCCAATACTAATGATGAATATATCGAATGTTGAACAGTTCCGAAAACAATTATATACGATTACACTGGAGGGGGGAGGTAAGATAACTTCTTAAAGATTATCCAGTGATATTGTGAATGACAAATTTACGTAAGAAGTATTACAATAGGTTGACACAAGAAGATAAATTCATGTGATTAAAGCGGTTACTTCTCAATTTCATTGAGTTTAGTAATTCAATCTTGATATACAGTAAATGTCGTTCAAATCTTTTTAACCGGTTGGAATCATCTGAACACAATCAAATCGAATAACTGCCCTCTTCTTTCTTTATACTAAGTTCAATCACTGATTTTAGTAGAGGAATTTTATGGAGATACTTCAATGTGTAGATTATACCACAACCATATCATAGGTAGACAATCGATACCATGACACACTCGACAACTACAAGACGCACCCTTGACCCTGGTATGAACCGAACTTCAAAAAAAGCACTGAGGGAAAAGAAAATCACATTTATCACAACAATAAAATTTCCGCTTCATTAATAATCATTATAACACTATGACAATAACATTTTACACACATATATGTGTGTATAAGTGCATTCATACATGTATGAATAGTGTGATCCGATGAAATGAATTAGATGCATAAAAGAGACAATAAGTTAAAGATCATGAAACTAAATCAAATAAAGCAAATCAGATTAGAACAAAGTAATGATAAACGTCCATATATATTGAAAAGCAATTGTTCATCATCATATTTATTCGTAAAGTAGTCAATGAATCACAATAATATCAATACGTAAACAATGATTAGTACATTGACTAATGATCCTAGAGACAAGCAAATGAATACACACACACACACATACATACATACATACATGTATATGCAAACTGTTAATGATACTCGTTGATAAAATAGAGAACTAATCGAATGATTAATCCTTTATTAGTAACAATATATTAGTGTTTTATGAATGTGATGTAGTTTGTCTATGAGAACAACAAGGAAATGTTTGGGGGGAATATAATTTTGAAAAAGTTGAACAAGCACATGAATATGACCCTAAAAGAAGATATATTATTATAAGAAAATATACAAGTAATGACAAAGTCAATGATAATAGCAGAAAAAAAAGAAGAGTTAGTGATAACATGAGAAGTGAAAGTGAAAGAGAATATAAGCACCACCAGGTTATTTGACAATATCTCCAATCTATCTGATATAATCAACAGCGACAATCATATTACGTAATAATTAATTGATTTCATAAATTTAGTACTTCAGATATTACGTAATTTTCCAAGTCTACAGTTACGATCAATGACTTTTTCTTGAAGAAACATATGTAAACATTTCTCATTTTGAGCTAATGGATGTCCAGCAACCCTTGAAAGAAATGGAGAGGTAAAAAACGAACAAACCTTAGTCAAATTATAAAAAAAACGGAATAAGAAAGTATATAGTATTAGGAAAATGAAACAAATTATACACAAACAACTGGAATTCATATAACTTCAGAAGAAACCCACTTATTACTACTGACAAATGTATGCATGGTTTACACATACTTTGTCCCCAAATGCCCTGATACGACCGAGATTTCAGACATTTAGCTCACACTCTAGAAATCCTCTCACATACCCACGTGCATACAATCACTGCCACACAAGTCCTACTCACTGCATTCTCATAAGATTACTGTTGTTTACGAAATTGAGAGGACGAAAAGTGAATGTCCGGCGCTTTAACTGGGTTGGTAAATATGGAGGATCCACCAATGGGAGTTGGAAAACCCTCGTTACAAACCAATGGTGCACATGGGCTCCAGTATTCCGAATGAAAAAATGGCGTATGAACCTATTGTTGGTCACTGGCTACAATGGGACTGCATCTCCTGAAGTTGCTTTACTGCCTTGTGGATCATACTTTTAGGTTGAAGGCCCGGATGTGTTCCCCTAAGAAAACCACCTGCTTCGGTTTGGGTACCCGGACAGTATCCCAGCCTTCACACAAACCGAATGATTTATGTGGCGCATGTCTGTTTGCTACCTACTTGTACCAATGTTTATGTATTTAAATAAATAAATTACACATACTTTAGCACATGTGGACATGATACACGTTACTTTATGTATAACGGTGAAAATTTATTAGGTTCAACACGAGCTTGATTTTGGGAACGGGGAAGTCAAACTAAACCACATCACATCAGTTAGCAACTTGGACAGATGCTTATTCATGCCAGGTCCTACTTATATCTGACTAAATTATAAAATGGAATTGAATGACACAATTGTAAGCGAGTGTACGTTTTCAATCAAAAATTAGCCAAATATTAAATATTTAGTGTCAAATATACCAATATAAAAAGTTTCAGAGTAAACATTAAGACTCGGTTAGTTACCTCAAAAAAGATAAGAAACTATTATTTTACTGGATAGGACTTTCAGTATATTAGGAAGTTATTGGGTTGTATAATATGAAGAACGGTAACATAGATACACTATTATAAACCTATTTAAATATTCGTTTATATTATTGAGGTCACGAACCAATTTAACTTGGACAACTATTGAGGACCTGTAGGCGCTGAATAGCCGTTTTGTCCTAGTATATGACTCCGCAGCAGTGTGCATCCGCGACCCCTCAACCAGAAATCGAGTGCAGGACACTCAGTCTTGCACACGAACGCCAGTATCCAACGATGTTAATGTCTAACTTCAATCAATCCATGAGATTGTGTGACCCTCTTTTAATCTCTTTGGTGAGTAATTTGCTCACATCCAACACAGCTGAAATTCACTAGTTACTGCTACACACTAGAATTCCGGGAATCCCCTTTTAAAGTTAATCACTAGTGAGTACATGATAATTACCAGTATTGGGTTAGGGAGATTGTTTGATTTTATTAAGATCACGAACTAACCTAGGTTATAAAAACCATTCGAAATCTGGAAGCAAAACATGACTATTTCATGTAACTATGGGACTTTGTTTATAGTGATGTGTTTCTATCTTTTATAATATCTTTCTCCTTGATTCAAATGGGTGAATCAATAAAACCTTTAATGTAAACACTTTTCAATTCATTATAAGGTAACAAACACTGTAGATTAGATTGAAATGAACAGTTAGAAGTGTTAAATTAGCTTCCCTATTAAGAAATTAATTCTTGACACACACACACAACTCATTTGTCAAGTCAAAGTCTAATCTGTATATATATTCTGCAATATCATTAGGTCCTGCTAACTAAACATACATATAGTACACAATATCTAATATTTGATTCTAAAACAATTCGAATTTAATTTAACATGTATTACATAATCTTTTCTGTAATAAACTTAATCAAATGTCATGAATAAATCATCAAAATAATCCGATGACTATTTGTTGTCTACCTCGTGACAACTATCATTTTGCAGTATGGATTATAATTATTAATAATAAAACTGTCATTAAAAATAAAACATTAATGACCCAACTAATCAATATATACAATATATCAGAAGGGGTTTTGTGGAGAGTGTAGTAAATTCAATTGTTGAGACCATGGGTCAATGGAAGTTAAGCTACTATGGAAGATCTGGAAACACTAGACGACCGTTTCGTCCTATTGTGAGACTCCTCAGCAGTGCGCACCCACTCTTTTTAGTTTTATACCATCTGTAAGAAACACTATTGAAATACATGTTTCGAAAAAATAATCGGTTGAAAATAAGTGGACATCATATTTTTTGTCTGTTTAAACACATAAACGTTTGTAAAAAGGGTCACCACAGAAAGTAATCACCATGCGATTTGTGAGTGGACTGGGATACAGCCTAGGTGCCTAAACAGAACCAGGCGACTTTCTCAGGGGTTCACACCCATAAGGTGGTGGAACAACTTTAGGAAGTACTGTACCATGGTAGCCGGTGACCAACAATAGGTTTATACACCATTTGTTCCCTCAGGATATTGGAGTCCATGCGCACCATTGGTTTGGAACCAAGGTTTTTTCAACTCCCCCAGCTTGATCCTCAATATCCACCAAAACAATTTGATGTGCGGATATAGGCTTTTCATTCTCTCAATTTCGTAAACAACACCCCTGCCACGAAAAGGCATTAAATAGAACATCCCTGTCAGTGACCATATGAGGGTATTTCGAGAGAGAGAGAGAGAGTGGACCCTCCCCACCCTTGGTCGAACTAAGGCATTTGGAAAAAAGGAAACAACGGTTAGAAAATCAATTAAAGACACAAACTTTAGCTATTAAGTTGTAGAATTAAAATTCAATTAATTTATACATTTATCACAATTTTGACACGTAACCTAATGACTAAGCCACATTCATTTGTTCTTCGTTCAATATCTCTATGGTATGTACATCGGTCAAATGATAATTAATAATCAATTAACAAGATGTAAACATATTGAGTTAAAATAATAATGAATATATCCAAGTAGAATTACTTCTTTCCTTGTATACACAAGTTAAAACAGGAAACAAAAATAGTACTTGTTAGTATCAAAATAGGGTAATACAATGAAATTTAATTATCACTTAGTTATTAACACAAGTTTATACACTATTGAATTAAATTGAAAAGAAAATCAATAGTTTGAAGATGAACTATCTATATTTTAATGAAAAAAAAGTAGTATCAGACATACGAAATACGAGTGCACAAAAGATATCAACCTGATATCAGTCACATATCAATTTTTTGGAAGAATTTCGTTGTGTAGAACCTGAAACAAATTTCTAATCTTACAATAGGGCAATGCATCTTTGTGAACCAAAGGTGTTTTACTTCGAGACTGAACGGAAAACAAATGTCCGATACATTAACCGAGTTGGTCGATATGGAGGATCAATCTAGGGGAGTTAGAAAACCTTGGTTCCAAACCAATCATGCACATGGACTCCAATATCCTGAGAGAACAAATGGCGTATGAACCTATTGCTGGACACTAGCAACCATGGAACAGCACTTCCTAAAGTTGCTCCACAGCCTTGTGGATTAGACCTATAGGCTCCGGGTGTGACTCCCCATGAAAGTCACCTGATCTTGTTTGGGCGCCTGAGCAGTATTCCGACCCTCACACAAACCGAATGATGATTACAACTGAAAGAAACTACCCTCGCTTCAATTCGCGTTCAGGCAAATCAAGTTCACAATCATTCGGTAACATTCGTTATTACTTTTTTACACTACATCACCTGAATAGACCCTTTCATTCTCCTTTTGTGCATTATTTTATTTTTTGACTTATACAGTAGTTTGCCTGTGGTGGAAATTATGTCCTATCTAAACGATTTCAAGTCACTGACTGGTCAGAAGTTGAATGTTACTACCAACTACAAAAACTGAACTAGCCTTTCCGAAACCGCGTATACCATTCAAACTGGCTACCTTCAACGTTCGCTCACTAATGCAGATCGACCGACATATAGGGTTGGTTGTCTTTAGAAAGTCTCGACATTGATGTCTTTTGTCTATCCGAGACCTGTATTCAAAACTCTAGTAAAGCACCACAAATTCGCATTCCATTTGTCGCTTCAAAGGGCTTGTTTCGCGCGCGTTCATCCGGGGACCATGTGGCATCGTCTGATTTTGCTGGCGTTAGTGTTAGTGCGGATCTGTTCCCTGGAGAAAAACTTCTCGATCTTGAGTATGCAAATGATACTGTCTTAGTGTGCGATAATACCCAATCCATGCAATCCGCACTTAGTCAGTTGGCAATTAGTGTCCGTAGGTATGGTATGTGCATCGCACCTTCGAAGTGCAAAGTACTTTTATAAGGCTGTCACGACCCTGAACCTGCGCTCACTCTGGGTAGTGAGCAGATAGAAGTTGTCGAGAAGTTTGTGCACCTGAGTAACTACATAAGTGATGGTGGTGGCGTGAGTGATGAGATCAATTCACGTATAGTAAAAGCCGGAGAGGCTTACGTCAATGAGGATCATCGTTGGCACTTTCGTGGTTATTCTGGCTGTAAAAGGAGGATCTACAACGCGACCATGAAAGCAATTTTGCTCTATGCATGTGAAGCTTGTCCTCTCAAATTTGATAATGTTAGACGACTGTGTTTGATCTTTGCTGTCTGCGGAGGACTGATAACATCCAGTGGAAACACCATGTTTGTAATGCATAGGTTCGGCATCGCGTGTTCGGGCACAGAGACGATAATGCAATTGGTGTCACCATCTTGAAACATTGAATTCATTAGCTTGGATATGCCTTACGAATGTCATCCTAGACAGTTCCACATCGTGCCTTATTTGCCGACGCTGGGACTGGTTGGAGAAAGTGGAGAGGTGGTCAGTGTAGGAAATGGTGTGGTGGTATGAAAGAAAGCTGTACAGGACTGACGTCTGCCGAACCTTTACGACTTCCTGGTCGGGATCCTAGAGATGGTACAACATGGTGACTTGAGACGTCATCAGAAATGGCTCAGAATAGAAGCCCGTAATGATCCTGTAATAAATTTATTTTTACTTTCTTCATTAAAGTGAAAGTAACTTCTTTAACTCAAAAAATCCTTTCTAGTTGTATTTTTTCCCAGCTGAACTGTTTCTCCCATTATTATTTCACTCTCATACACTAATTTCTGTTCATTGTTGCTCGTCTTTTCATTATACTCAACCTCCATTCGTTGTTTCTTCACGACCTCATTGTTATTTTGTGGCATATATGCATTTGGTACCCCTTGTACCAATGTTTGTGTTCAAATAAATACAATAAACATATGATTGTTCAAGAGTAAACATAAATGGCGTGGTTCAGAAATAAGAAATGAAGTAAAGGACTTGAAAGTATAGAGTCAGTCAGTCAGCAACAACGTAGAACTTCGTACGTTTGTACATCATTTTCAGTTGCCATACCACATTAGCACAGAGATGTAATTGTATAGAGTATCACTGAAGTTCAATGAGGAATGGAAAAAATGCGTCCACCCCACTCCAAGTAATTGTGAGTTAAATCACTTGTCTTCGACCATGAATTTTGATTATCGGACAGACCAAACCTAATTTGCCAAGTAATCTTATTGATAAAGTATTTTAATCTAGTAAAAATGGCTTTCCAAGAAAAAAACATATTTGAAAAAGCAAATGTAAAGATAAACATACTTGTTAATAAAGTTTTCTAGTCCTTTTCGTCGCTCCTCGATGAAATCTTCATCAAATATACCTTTGTCTGCCCGAAAAGGTAACTGGCGTTTCCATGCTTTACTTGGTAATCGAGGAACAACAATCTGTTGAAATACAAAATGAGAACCTAGTTTGGTATATTCCCATTTCAAAACTTGCATACTTCTAAACCATAAATTTAATCATAAACAAGTAGGGAGAACGAGGCTGGGTAGAAGAAAAAACGCTGATCCCTATACTTTCCATGTTGTATACCTGTTAAAAATACAGTTGGTGGATTGAGTTTTCATCAGTGATTCAATAAGCGAAAGACGACGGGTTAGCCTACTATGCAGTAATCGGTTTAGTTACATTCTATGGTTATGAACGATGCAAGGAATAAAGGCAAGATTAGTAAGGTTTAAATGTAATAGCAAATATGTGTATACATTCCCATTTCTTTTTGAGAAAGGTTTATCTTTAAATTACTAATTAAATTATATTACCTTTTCAGATATCTTCACAAGTACTTAAGGACCTGACTAATATTTTTAACTGAGCGGAAATCTACCTTTCGTACGTAACCTACATTTCACGTGGCACTATAAACTCGGAAGGCGTAGATTTCGATGTTTGTTGTAACACTAGGTATTTGTTGGTCTATTATTAGCACGTTTATTGCATCGAAGAATAACTTTTGTCTGTAGAACACTTAACGGAATTTTGAATTCTATGTGACAAGCACACCAACAACTCCATCCCAAATAAAAACATGAGGAAATGAATTATTCCTGAAATATATATATATATACATGTAATACATAATCTTATTTATAGCGCACCGAATTTTCGAACTATGGGTACGCTTACATATAGGTTTTATTACGTTTAGACAAGATAGAACCACTTCGATGACGTTAAAAGACTTTGATTGCATGTTCATCTTATACTGTCTTCTAAGAATCACTTATTTCCGCGCGCAACGCCTGTGTGCGACGACAGACACGTTGACGTAGAGAAAAGTGGCGCAACCGTCTTAGAATTGCGTCATGTTTGCGAAATAAACTACGAATCAAAGAGAGACGTTTAATGTGCTGAGAAAGTTCAAGATAGTTTTCAATTGAGTCCATACATTTAACCAGAAATCTTGAGGGATTTTTGGGGTTTAATCGAAGGACTTAAATGGACTTCTCCAAAGTAATTGAGAATACTGGAGAAAAAATCCGGACCAGATGAAATTTCCAGGCATTTAGCCAAAACCCACTAAAGTTTTCTGTTAGAGTTCCCTCAAAAAAATCGATAAAAATCCACCCCAAAATCGACAGGTGGATTAAATAGATAAGCTACATACCTTGCTTTCACGGTCTAGTTCGTCACGAAGCCATTTGAAATCACTATACCTCCGACGAACCGAAGACTCTTTGTGTGCAAATATAGGTAAATTTGTCTACAGAAAACTACGATGACTACAGAAATTTACGTACTCTAAGACTAACTTCATAGTCTGTGAAGCGGTCTTTACCATCCTCGTGAGTGAGAGGGTTGCACACATCAATCTCTAAGAAATTTGCTGGTGGTGAATAAGCATCTTCAATTGTTTGCCTTCTAGGGACCAACCTTTGAGTTGCAGAAGCTACGGTTGCGGGTGACTCAAGCATACCGCGATTTTGAAAAACTGACTGTAGAAACCGAAAAGAGCGATTCAATTGTTTCAAAATTCTATTTTCGTTCTCTATCTAGCCTATTAGAAACACTTGACGTTTCGAAATTTCTGATCTGCTAGTTATCTACTTTTAGTTCGTAAACTGTTCAGATTATACTTAGTCTTCATATTCCACCTATCGGTCAGCTGCCCTATATACCATTCTTCCTAGACGTCATCTTCTTCCTCCCTCAGCTATACAGTATCCAAAGTCTCATTAAAATGACAAAAGCTGCATTTCTAGGTCTGGTACTTTAGGCGTAATTAATATGTTCTGTGGCTGGAAGTAGGGGTCACTGCATGGAAGAACACTATCGACTATCGATACCAAAATAAACGAATAAATACAAACTTATTGATAAAGATCGCAACGTTCAGATGCTCGCACATGATAACAGTTGTTCATCAGTTAACATTCAGCGACGATGTCTAAAAATTAATAGCGAAAGTGAAAACCTATGGTACATTCTCTTGGTATTATTTCGTAAGTCACAATATTCGTGAACACCATGAGCAACCCTTCGCACGACAAGCGATAAGACCTAAATCTTAGAACCATCTGATCTCATAATTTAATGAGGGATTAAATTATAATCCAGCAATTCCTCTTTTATAAATTGCAGATCATTAGCGTCTGAGAAATAGAGCCGAGGCGAAATGGTTCAAATTGTGGTTCAAATGGTTGCGGACAGAATAGAAGAAGCTTTCGCTTAACAGGCTTCCGTGTCTAGTATCAGGGGATCACAAAAACCTTTAGGAAGGAACCTAGGTATGTTAACAATAAAAGAGGAAAAGAAATTGGTAAATCATAGTGTGATACTATCCTTAGTCCTTAAGTATAGATCAAGTTGCCTCTTAAAGGACTCCTGGGAAGTCTCTTAGACTAGCTCGGCCGGCAGCGAATTCCAGCATTTGACAACTCTTAAGGAGTAGAAGTTGTTGTGTCTCCAGTTTTTGGGTGTCACCCCATAGGTTATTGTTGGAACCAAGCTTAAGTAGGTGTTTGAGAGGATGTCCATAAGTGTTAAGGCTACTCTAAGCCATCAGAAGGTCACCTCTAAGACGTCTATACTCTAATGGACAAAGGTTAAGTGATTGGAGGTGCTCTTCATAAAGTTTGAATTTGAGTCCTGATTTCGTGGCTCGCCGTCGGATACGCTCCAGGGTGTCCTTATCCTTTTGGAGTGAGGGAGGAAATGCTATGTTTCCGTACTCTAAATGGGGACGAATAAAACCATTGAAGATAATATGGAAAGTTCCTCCATCAAGCTGGCCAAAAGTGCGCTTCAATGTTACCAGTGCAAGGTTTGCTCGCAAGGCATTTTTGTCACAGTGAGCATAAGACTTTAAATCGAAAGGCACCAGGACTCGTAAATCTTTTTCGACTCGGGATACTATTAGAGAGGAGTTTCCTAAGTTATAACTGTAGTCTGCGACATGTCGCAGATGGACTACTTTACACTATGAAGTGTTAAATGTAAGTCCGTTATCGTATGCCCAACTTTGAGGTCGAGTCGGATCCTCCTGAAGTGCCTGTATATCGTCTTTTTTGCGTATCTCTCTCCAAGGTTTCACGTCGTCGGCAAAAAGTAATAAGTCTGACGTTACGTGATGAGGAAGATAATTTATATAGGTCAATAAGAGAAAAAGTCCCATTACTGAGCCCTGGGGGACCCCACTAGAACATTCCATAGCCTGACATAAAGTGAAATTAACCCTGACCCTAAAATGTCGATTTTTCAGGTATGAAGTGAGCCAATCGATTAGAGGTGGTCTGATACCCAATTGTTTGAGCTTATTGATAAGACATGTGTGGTTAACCTGATCAAAAGCTTTTGAGAAATCTAGGTAGATGATATCAACCTTCCCCTTGTGATCGAGGATGCTTGTCCATCTGTCCACCGCAGTCAGCAGATTGGTTATACAAGAGTAACACTTCCTGAAACCATGCTGTTGGGGTGAGAAGAAATTTAAGGACAGTAAATAGCCATATATACCATCGCATACCAGGGACGCCATAATATTTTTATGGTATTGAGAGAAGAGCCACCGGTCGGTAACTTGAAGGTTCGCTGCGTCGACCTCCTTTGAAAACTGGTGTGATGTGAGCCAGCTTCCAATTTTTCGGTAATTTGCCTCGGCTTAGCGAGTGTGAGAACATCACGCTAAGCGGCGTTGCCAGGATTGAGGCTGCTTCCCTCAGTATGGTAGAATGAACCATATCCGGGCCAGGAGAAGTATCTAGTCTTAAGTGCTGCAATTTCCGGAACACCAAGTCAGCGCTTAGGTCCACTTCGGAAAGTCCTGTGGAATTGCAGGGGAAACTGCCGTCAGTAAAGTTGATGTCGGCCGGTTGAAATGTCTGAGAGTAATGTGCCGCCAGAAGGTTAGCGGCGTCGACATCGTTGTTGGTCGGGCCGTTAAGACCTAGCAGTTGAGAAACTCTTGTTTTGGCTTGACGAAGAGAGGCTGCATAACGAAATAGGCTTCTAGGGTTAGAAGCGAATTTGTCCATAAGCTTTGTCTGGTACTGAAGCCTGTCTTCTCTTATAGCCTTCGTGCATATGTTCCTTATATGTTTGTATTGCCTGTACGCTCCGTTGTTGTCAATTCGTTTGCACTCAGTCCAACAGTGCCTTTTGCGGCTTAACAGGCGAAGAGTGCGGTTCCTGATGATTGTGTGTAGCTGATAGCTATGGGGGACCGTTTGAGGAACTGAATGATTTGTAGCACATATGAGCGTGTGCAGTAAGAAGTCCCAATGAGCATCCACATCGAGTTGAGGATGAACATCTCAATCCACCTGTTGTAGATAGTCCTGTAGAGCTGACACATTCAACCGTTTGAAATTCCAGCGCAAGTTGTTGGTGGGATATCTTAGCTCAGTTTTGCTGACGAAGCTAAAGGTTATAACGGCGTGATCGCTTTTTCCTATGGGAGCCAGGATTGAGGGGTTGTCAACTAGGAATTCTTCGTTTGTAAATACACAGTCTAAGCGCGATGGCGTCTGACCGTTTTTCCAACGAGTTGCCGACTTTACATTTTCGTATAAACCCAAGTCCTCAATGAGGTTGAAGAACAGAGCTTGTTTTGTTTTATTAAATTTAATAAACCCCAAAACAAGCAAAGATGGGTAGTGGCCAACAGTGGAATCTAGGACGTGCCTTTCGTCCTATTTGGGACTCGTCAGCTGGATGTATCTGCATCTCAGAGTTGATGTTTACTCTGGAACTCGCTTCAAACGCCATCGCAATATCCACCTAGCCACGGAGTCCTGATAACCACTTGCTTGTGCAGTGAATTATATCTTATAAAAACTCAAACCAATTTTTAGCCTAATATTTTTCTATTTTTAAGTATTCCTGAATATTGCGCTTCGCGAAGGGTAGCTGTTTATATTAGCCTCCCGGAAGAACCCAACACAATGCCATCGATTGAAAAGGCACTTCTTGATAAAAAGAGTATATTTGTTCCGCAAATTATGTTTTCTGAGTCAGACAATTCTCCTATGTCTATGCGTCATGATAAATCACTAAAAGAGATTGAATTCTGGAAGTCTAATGGGAAGATTTAAGTAATTAATATCGAGTGAATTAAACCCCAAGATAGTTTTATAAGTCTTGGACGTTTATTTTTACCTCATTGATTTTACTGGACTCGCTCTAACTGATGGCGCTCAGTAGAGCATATTAACTAGATCATCAATGAAGTACGCCATACTGTGCATCCCTACCAATAAATTAAATCCGTAGACGAATTCATTACATTTGCTGATTGGTTTCTACAGAACACCGGAACTCCCGGTACCAGAGTTTGTTCTATTGAGGAAAAACCTCAAACGATACAAAACAAAATCTCAGATACCTGTAATGTGTCACTGGTTTCCTTGGTGTTCACCATGATGCCAAAATGATCCAAAACTTCACAAACAATTTCACTATAAAAGATATCGATTTCTGGACCATGAAGAACGGATACCTTGATTAATGCCAACACTTCAACACCTACGGTAAATTTTCTAGAAACTGCAGGAAATCCCGAAGTTTCTCTGACCTCAGACTTTACATCGGGACAAACATTCAGACACGTGTTAACGACACCTCGTCGAAAATTTTGATGTTAGTGTCCCCACCGCGAATACAAACGGTCTTCCACAATGTTTAGTCCTCAGTTCACATGTGACAAACGGAAAACTGACTGTCAATTACAGTAACATGTACGTTTACATTGACGTGGGTTTACGTAAACTCATTCAGGAGATCTTCGTTGTTGCAGATGTATCACTGTCAATCATCGGCATAGACCTGCCACAACACCACTATCTAATCATCGACCTGAGAAAACGGTGACTATTTGACAGTTTTACTAACCTATCTGCTTGAGGAGTATCATTTTATGATTGAAGATTGTGCGCCGTCAAAACTATACATAGAATGGACCATACTTACAACATGATCGCAACTACCGTGTCCGACCGACAATATTACACATCACATCACGATGGCAGGACTGTGTTCTCTGAAGCGCTCTGGATAGCTTTCGAAAGGTTGGGACTGGTTGAAAGCGAATTATATAGTATGACAGATTTTGGAAATATCATGCCACCAGAGTCATTTTTTCGAAAATCGGCCCAGTTGAGCCATACAACCAAGATCCGACGCTGAGAACAACACCTCCAAAACGTCTGTCTTTACTCTTTTCGTGCTACGAGAACATTAACTTATGCCTTTTGGTTCAAGAAACGCCGCCCTAACTTTCAAAGGTTGATGGCGTGTTCACAGGTCTGAAATTTGCGCACACCAATTTTGATAACTGCTTAATTTTAAGTTCCAACAGACAATCCCAGCTCAGTATCTGAACTTTGTTTGCCAATGATTCCAAAAACACGGCACTGCTGTAATCATTCAGTAATGTAAAATCGGAACGAACTCACTCTATTTCCCGTGGAATAACACTGACGCCCAAGTTATTCGTCCTCTGCAAAAATAATGTGGTGACCACTCTG